TTTCATATCTAAAGAAGTACCAATAATATTGGTGAAGAGCTTTATACAGGTGAGACGTAATATTCGTGGGTAATAGACACGAATATCATATGATCTGTCTCATCACCATGGATTAAACAGTGAAGATTGTCGAGGAAAGGTTGAATTCAACTATAAAATTAATTAGCAATATGAAGATTAGTTTAATCTCTTATAAACACATATAAAGTTCCTCATTTCTTCGATTTGGGTTTCACTCCCCACGCGCCTGCTCACATGTGGTGAATGTTCAAGTCAATCACGTGGACAACAAAAGCAGGATGACGTGGAGCACGTGAGACCGTTAGGGTTCACATATGAGACAATCTACTCTGATACCATGAAGAAAGTTGAAGTTCCACCATAAATTCAATTAACAATTGAGGAGTAGTTCAATTTCATGTAAGCACATGCGATATTCTTTCTTTTTTCAATGTAGAATTTACTCTCAACAATTGTCTTGGCTATTTTTATAAATTTATAAATCATTGGTCCTTTGATGTTGATTTGCAATGACTCAATCATATTACGAGCTAGACTTAAATAAAAAGGACTCCCAATTTCCAGCCACAAAAATTAATATTCCAGAACCTTGCAAAACAATAATCATAATTCTAGTTAGAAGACAAAAATGTTAATCAAAGGACCGGGGTCCTTAATTTGCTTTCATCACACATTTTCCAGCGATGCAATAAATTTGCAATGGAGTCAAAGATATTTGACTTCAATTTTCAATCATTATTTTTTGTAATCAATGGAGGAGCCACGATTAGGGATGAGCAATGGTTATGCGGGCGGGTAACCGCGGTTAATTTATCCATAACCGTTTATGTTCATACCCGCATAACCGTTTACCCGTTGGGTAATTACCTAAACGGTTATACCCATACCAATAACCATTTATAAACGGTTAATCATACTCATAACCGCATACACATTTAACCGTAACCGTTTAATACGCGTTTACCCATTTATCCTTTTTAACCCGTTTATCTTTTTTTTTTTTACCATTACCCTTTTTTCACCCGTCTACATGTTTTTTAACAACTTAAAAATTAAAAAAAAATTGTCATAATTTTTTTTTGACAATTAAACACCGTTATAGGTACATTCATCATACATGTCCATATTTTAATTTTTTAAGTCCTTATACCATTCCAATAATTGAAATAATAGTTTACGGACGATATTTTTAACTGTTACCAATGACGGTAAATATAATATTTGCTAAGTATTATTGGGTTACAAAAATTGTTTAGAAGACATTTATGTCAAAACATTTCTGTCAATTTCACGGTTACCCGCAAAGAATTTAAATTAATTTGGTCAATTCCTTGATGATGAGAATCATCATTCCTGTAGTAATGTTATTGAGAGAAGGACCGATGAATTCCTTGCTAATTTATTGGGTGCTAAGTATTATTGGATTGAGAACATGGTTTGTGTTAGTTTTACATATATAAAATAAATGGGTAAACGGTTACCCGTTTATAACCGTGGTTAATACTCATAACCGCCCATTTAAATTTCACGGGTAAACGGTTATACCCATAACCGTTTATTTATCTAAACGGTTACCCATAACAGTAACCGTTTAATTTAAATGGACGGGTAACCGCGGTTACCCATAACCAATGGGTTTGCCCATCCCTAGCCACGACCCATCTCAGGGCTTCAGTGAAAACATAGGGCAAGTGGGTTGTGGGATTTTTCTTTTTAAAGAGATCAGCTGGTGGTTACAGGGAATATAAGTCTTAGTTCATTAACGACAACATTCTTCTTCGGTTCATGACAATTTATTTTTTCAGAAATTATAACGATTCACAGAGGCATTTCAGCCTCCTCTTGACCATCATCAAATAATTCACTAATTTTAAGAATCGAACTTATGACATATCCTGAAAAAATACATACTTGAAATTCGTTTTCGATTACTAGGCCAGTCCGAGGTGGTTGGGTTTAGGATTTTCTTGTCGACAGATGATTGAATGAAAAGTTTCCATTTGTAATCAACTCCAACCAAAAACTATGGGGAGAATGTGAAGATTAAGTTAACAAAAAACCTTTTTAAATTTTGTGTAAAAGGTTAGCTAGATTCTAGATAGCAGAAACTTAAATAGTACTATTTTGTTTTGGTCGGTAAATGGAAGCACAAACTTAAATAGTACGTGATCTTGGCTTTGAGCTAGCAGCTGAGATCCTTATGCAGTGCGTAGCACTTAGGAAGCTCATGAGGTTGATTAACAAACTCGATTGACAGCTTCCAAGCCCTAGAAATTATTTTTTAAGCAAAGTTTGTACTATATATACTATATAAAATGGAATCGTACAACTTCATTAGCATTGTTCTAGTTATGCCTTTCAAATTTGATTGTTTATGATGGGATTGCCTTCATGGTTTTATTTGTAATTTTGTTTTCACAACAAAAAGATCAAATATAATGTTTAAAATGAAGATGTGAAGTTGAACATGTCAAGTTGGCTAGAGTAGTATACTCATTTATCTACATCAATAGCACAGGCGAACTAGCATGGGGTCATAGGTTGTTCATGATCTCAACAACTTCAAAAACTCTATGAATATTTGTATCTATATTGTATTTCACTCTATAAATAGTTAGGACAAACCATACAACCTTCTCCTCTTACTTCGTCTTCTATATTTGTTCCTCATTCTTGTCTTTCCTTTTCCTCTTCTTGTGTGCAACTTTATTGTACGCACCAAGCACTCGATGATATGCCTCAATTGATAAACCTTGACCGTCTTCAACATTACTCCACCATTTACTATAGCCACCCTCGACAAGCTTCTACAAATCATAATAGTTGTTGGCATAAGATTTCGCCAGATGTTGGCAAGAATCGATAAATTCCTACTAGGTGCTCTATGAAATGGTCAAATGAAGGTTTTTTTTTAATTTTTTTATCAAAATCATGATCCCATTATTTAAAAATTCTGACTTCGCCGCTGCTCTACTCTCAAATTCGAATGCTTTACCAACCAAATCAACATGCTGTCTTCTCCTAACTCCTTGTTTCCTATGTTTGAGAAATTGTGTTTGATCCATCAACTATTGTTCCCTTAATAAAAAATAAAAACCAGATATGAACCCAAAAATACTAGGGTTTATTAAAAACAACCCACATACTTTAATTTCTTAATGTAAACCCTTGATCAGTAATTTAACAATTCCACAAAAATTTGTAAATATTAGCACCAACAACCATTTTCAGCAACAAATAAGGAAGTACAAAGAGGAGAAAGAAAATCTTAACAACCCTATCCCTGTGAACTTTTGTTTTGGAACTTTGGTTTATAAATATCATATTTTCTGACCATATTTATATGCATGTCCTTGATTTGATGTCATTGATTCAGTATGATATTTGAAACAAGTTACAGCAAGAGAAAACCAAAAAAATGCAGGCATAGAGCATTGACTGTGCAAATTATAAAGATATGAGTAAATATATGAACATGTCAGAAGACTCTCAGAACAGAACACAACAAGACCGGCCCCTGCGTAGTAGCAGAAACGCAATTGTCACTGCAACAAGTCCCCTCACAAGGGGAGAGAGATTCTTTAGGTACTTATCTGATGATGTGTCTTTGTGTTTCGGCAATACTCGCTCGTTACTTAATTAGAGATGTAGAAATAACGAGATATATATTACAGTCTGCAATAAGATCTCTCACCATGAGAGATTCTTTAGGTACTATAGACGATGTCATTGTATTCTATTGTTTTCACAAATGGGAAGAGATTATCTCCGGATCTCTTCCACCAAATCCACCTATCTGGACCTTTGAAATTTGATTTAACGACTACAAACAGGGAGCCATTTTAAAAAGTTATAATAATTGTAGCCGTTAGATCAAATTTCAAGGACCCTAATGAATGGACTTGGTGGCTTTGGTAGGAGAGATCCAGAGATGATCTCTAGCGGAGAAATGTGAAAGTAAGGGGTTAGACATCGTGTTATATTGTACAATCTATTCGTAAATAGACCAATAACGACATACCTCTATGTAATTCCAAATAACGCACTTACCTAGTTAAGTAACCACAATCTTAAATGAGATGAAATTAATTTACATATGTCAAACTCTAACCTTGGCACAATGAAAATGTTGCTCCTTTGTAATAAAAAGATTACGAATTCGAGATGTGTAAACAGTCTATTTGTAAAATAAAAGTAAAACTGCGTACGATGGACGAAAAAAATATAATTAATTCATATCATCCCTTTTTTTACATGTATGCGTCACATGCACACGTGGCCAAAATCATGTAGTGCATGGGCGGGGGCAAGAATGCATGTAACAAAATTATTAATATATTTATTCGATCTTTCAACAAAAAGAAGACATATTTTAGAGTGTATGCCTTTTGGTTGTGAAATTTGCCTCATGCCTGAAAATTTAGAAAAAAACAGAGTTTCTAATTTGAGTAAATTAATAATTCCAGTTTCGATAAATTACTAATTTGATGTTTTGAGAAAGCTGTAGAATGTCCTTTGATTAAAAAAAAAAAACTAAATTATTATGTTTTATTATACCTTTGGATAAAAAAATTAATTTACTCATAGGATATAAATGATCGAGTAGTGAAAAATAAGGGTAACAATAGTCTAACGATATTAGGTTCAATTCTCTTTAATGATAAGTTCTTTATCAAATACTGACTGACTCATTACGTGACTTAATCCTCCGCTCGAATCTCATTGTATCTAGAAAAGCCCCTTTTGATTTCAATGAAGGGGGAAGTCAAAATCTCAACTCCAAATTGTATTTTATTATTCAAGAAAGTATAAATAGTTAAGAAGAAAAATTAAGAAAGTAACTGAAAACTTGTGGGTGGACTGTGGACTGTGGATAGTAGACCATTGACCATTTTAACAAGGGTGCCGTTATCTACATGTCCTGTTTTATCTCTTACGACATTCTTTTAATTTTTAACTGTCGAATCAAAGAATTTAAAGAATATCAAATAACATAAATTAATTAAAAATAGATTTCTAGATAACAACTCCTATTGGCAAAAGGGGTAAAGTACTCAAAATATCCTAATAAAATGAAAATTAAAAAGGGCACTAAATTAACTCAACCAACAAGAAAGTAAGATCCAGCGGTTCATATTTAATGATGCCACAATAAGGCCTCAACTTCAACACACTCGGCAGCTGGTGGTTCAGGCATTAACATTTGATCATCCCTAATAAAACTGTTGATAAGACTATTATACCCATAATCTTCCTCGAAATAACTGTTGTGCCACCACGGCGGAGGATACAGCCACCCCTCCACCGAATCAGCAAACACGAGCTCGCTCCCCGACTCGGCCGACTCGTAGCTCGTTCCCAGGCTTGGCAGCTCCACTATCTCCTCCAGCTCCTCCGGCGTTCCTGCGTCCTCGCTCGTACTTGTCGCACCCACCGTTGAGGATGATGGTGAGGACTGTGACAATGCTGACGACGACGACGAAGACGACTGCGACGGTGGAGGAGGCGGCGTGTTTAGAGTTTCCATGGAAGCGGCTTTGGCAGCCGCGGCTTGTATGTCCCGGGGAGAGTTCGAGTCGGGTCGAGGCAGCAACCCGACGAGTCCGGGGAAGTTGAGGATCGCGGAGTTGCCTTTGATGGTCAGCGCTGCCACGTCGTGGGCACGCGCGGCCATTTCGGGTGTCGAGAATGTACCGAGCCAGATCCGACTCTTCTTCCTGGGCTCGCGGATTTCTGACACCCACTTGCCCCATGTCCGCATTCGGACCCCTCTGTAAACCGGGTGCTTGCTGCTGGTTTCTCTGGCCCGCTTCTGATCCGGGTCTGGCGAGTTGGACATTTCGCGAAGTGGATTTTGACCGGGGTTCGGAATGGAGTGGGAAAACCCAGATGAGGACGGGGAAGGAGGGGAGTGTGAGGAGGAGTTGAAGCTCGACTCGGTCTCCGAGTGAGTTGGGTCAGCCATTGTTGATGGGTAGTGGACTCAGTGAAATGCTTAAAAAAGAAACCAAGGCAAAAGTATCGAGCTTTCGTTTCTTTCTCTGGTTTACTATAAATAGAATGCGTTCTGGAAGTGGAAAGGAGTTGGCTTTTGTGAGCTTCAGGCAGTGTGACCGAGTTATATTATTTATAGGGTAATGCTGGAGAGAGAGAGAGAGTTGGAGAGTGTACGTAGTTGTTGCGTGTGTGAGTGAGTGAGGAAAACGGGAAAGGAAGAAGGGGAATTGAGAAAGAAGAGCAAGTGAAGGGAGGGGTTTTATTAGAGGAAGGGAGAGAGAGAGAGAGAGAGAGAGAGAGAGAGAGAATCTGAAGTGGAAAACGTGGGCTTCTTCGTTAAGTGACCACGCCAACAACACTGAGTCGGTCTGACTCCCTCCTTTTAACCCCATCGTTTTCATCATTCTGTTGACCATATATAAAAATCTCAAGCACTAATCCGTTAATAAGCTAATATGACACATATTTTTTCATTGAAGTCTAATTGCAATATAATGTTGTAATCTAAATTAGTCTTTTGTTTCTTTTTCAATTTAAATGACTTTTTGTAAAAATGATTTTACGCTCAAAGTCTATAAAACGGACGGTTCAAATCATCTAATACATTGTGTAGTGAGTCGAATTAACGGTTGGTAGTCTAGTGAGTTTCCCATGAATGACCTTGTGGTAGAAGGAAGAATGACGACTTCTCATTTCTGCAATCTAATTTGACACGTATGCAAAAATAACCCATTGTAAAAACACAAAGAAGAAAAATTTATGCTCAAGTGTCAAACTATAATCGATAGCACCATAGAAAATACCTAGCAGAAATACCTACTTTGAACCAAGTCTTTTCCTAAAATATAACTCCATTTTTTGTTCTATTTCCAAACTACCAATCTCATTGTAAATAAGTAAAGTTAGTACATAAGATACGCAGTGTGCAGAGATAAAGGAAACAAGAAACGGTCAGAAAGCAATGGGAGTGTAAAAAGAGAAAATGGTACGGGTAAATTAGGATACCAGAGACAGCTTCCAAGGGCCAGAAAAGCAGAGCTGCTGGCACAGAAACACAGTCGTGTGGGGACAATTAAGAGATATTTTTTTACTGTAGTCAGAACATGTATACATACTCATATGTCATTATATAAATACAGGAATATTTGAAAAAAAAATCTCTCATACTTGTATAATAACATATAACGTATTGTCCTATATTCCGGTAACATTAAAAAAATCTCTCCATAATTAGGTCATCTTCAACGAAGAGGCTAAAGGTCCAAAGCCAAAAATGGCCTAATTTTTCAAAAATACATTACCAATGGATGGTTGGGTATGAAGACCACTAGACTATTATAATTCTATGAAGACCACTAGCCCCCATTTTAGCCTTTTTTTTGGGGCATAGCTCATCTGCAACAATAATTTATTCAACGCCTAAGGTTGAAAACATCTAACAGTAATTTAATTAATTTAACTAATAAATTATTGAATAGACTATATTTAGCCCATTCGATTAGAAATGATATATGAATATGGCCTAACATTGTTTATTTAAAAATAATTTATTGTAGAACTATAATTTTGAACGAGACTATATTTAGTCATTTTGGTTGAAAATGGCCTTAATATTACCATACAAGGATGGGCTAGGCCTTTGTTGTGCACCACCCAATCCTGCCAATATATCTTTCCTTCTTTCCCCTTCTCCCCGTAAGCATTAAGCACCAACGATATTTAAAACTCTTCTACTTTCTTCAGCCAACCTAGACTTCAAAATTTTTTGATTCATTAATCTCCCCATACCCCACAGCCATTGCCGGACCAATCTTAACAGCTAGACTACTGCCCTGCAAAACCCTTCGGTGTACTTTTGGCTCATGCCTTGTTTTTTCTAGAGAATTTACTGTGTTCTTGATTGTCATGTGATGAGAAAGATAAATTATTTTTAGTCTATATGTAAACTCGATTTTTTTTAAAGAGTTTGTCTTAGTCTCAGTCCGTCGTGTGATGAAAGATATTAGGTATAGACTCAAATGTGTATCCAACAATTATTTTTTAGAGAAGCTGTCCTATTCACAGTTTGTCACGTGCCAAGTGAAATAGATGAATAGATGTATAGAGAAATTGCTCTATTTACAGTTCGTCATGTGATGAAAAAAAGATACATAGTTGTGAAACACATTTCTTTTTTAGAGAATTATCTATCGTATTCCCAATATGTTATGTAATTAAGAAATAGACATATAAATGTTTACAACCGAGTGTAAAATAAAGAATCTTTCACATCCTCAATTATTACGATGAAAGAAATATATGTATGAATATATACAATTAGTGACATCTAAAAATCTCCCATTGATTCAAAGTCCATTTATCCATTCCAAGTTATTACCATCTGATCAATAATACTGTAAATAAATTACCTATATTATAGTACATGTACTGTTTCATTGTTCTTTTCTAATAATATGAGTCATGAGTGTCCTTGTAATTGTTTCCACTTACCAAAGGGGTTTATATTTTTGAGAGAGAGAGAGAGAGAGAGAGAGAGAGAGAGAGAGAGAGAGAGAGTTTATAATATTTGAAACTTCTTCCAACAAAATATGGGCTTCATAAATTGAGGTCATGGGCTTTTAATTTTTCCAGGTCCCAGCAGAGAAATGGCAAATCCATCAAGTCTCCAATAATTCAACCGATAACTAGTTTCTGAAATTTTTTCGACATACTTATTAAATATTGACAAATTATCGCATGATATTCTCAATTTATCTGATCTAACGATCGAAAATTAAAAGGGTGTGTGGATATCACACTCCTAAAAAAACTTATCACCTTTAACACTAAATAATAAAATAAAATAAATTATTTCCACCATTATTTCGTAATTTAACGCGATATCTTTGATTTTTAGAAGATATCCATTAATCTTGCAAAGCAAACGAGAATCGTAAAGTATGAGTTTTCCACTCGTTTGGTCTGAAACGAAAACAAAAGCAAGCTGGAAACCGCATATTTAATGCTAATTTGCCAAAAATAAAAAAATAATGCAGGCATCTAGGGAGTACTAGAACAAAAAAGGCCTATATATAAGATGGCCCAGCTGGGTTCATCAGTTTCATAGACAAGGATTATCTGCCCTCCTATATGTGTGGTCACGGTTAAGCCACGTCAATATTTTATATTATTATTCATTTTTGTCTTATTATCTCTATAAAAAAAACAATATAAAATGTTGACGTGGCTTAAACGTAACCACACAAAACAAGAGGGCATCGGAGGGCACGGGAGCAAGCAGGGCAGACAATCATTGTCCCAGTTTCATATATTGTGCTATCAGCATCTGAACTCAACAGTGATTGACCATTAAGGCAACTCTAACGCAACAAACTTTTGAATTAATTTTCAAGCTCCATTTTTTTTTAATATAGATTTTTGTTTTATTTGCGTCATATTAGAAACCAAACTCATGCTTTCCTTCGAGCTAGCCCTACTTGTAGATATTTGAATTATTGGAAAATCGGACGAATAAGAAATTAAAGTAAGTTATAATGAGAACTTTACTATGTCCCAAATGGTCTTATAGGCATAGGTTTTTGAGGGTTCGATTTGAATGAGGTCAGATCATCAAGAGTTTGATTCTCTTCCAATCTTATATATCGGCATAATGTTGATAAGGGTTCAATTAGGATCAAGTTAGGTCAAAGGGTTCGATTTTCTTCCTAATGTAACCCAAAGAAACAGAAAATACATGATCTAAACCGAACGAAAAGTAATCGTTTTTCTAGAGGATGTTCGTGTAATTAAATTGATCTATTAATAGGAAAATGAATCAACCACTCTATGCATGCTGAATAAATTTGCTTTTTCATGCGTCCCCCACCTTGAACAAAGTACAGACTGAGACTCAGCTTATATATCAACGAGCTATAAGGCTCATTTTCCACATTTGTTCATCTTTTCTGCATAACTCCAGAAGATTGTAACAATAAATAATATAGTGTGATGAAGAATATATGAGGTCAAAAACTAACTTCCCATGCATGCACCAATTGATTTTTGTAGCATGATGTTTTACTCCGTGTGTATAAGATATAGGTCGTTGAATAATTATATATAGAGCTGGCCAGACTCGAAAACAAGATCTGCAAAAAATGTTTCAATTTGTTTCCATTCCAGTTTTGGAATCGCAACGTAGTTATCAATTGGGTCCGCTTTGCTAGCTAGGGTTTGCATGCATGCATCTTGCCTTCATGGCCACACGTACAATTTAATCAACTGATGGGTGGCCTGAAAAGCTTGAAATAATGTAACATATACTGGGGGTCCTATATTCACTGGAAAGTGTCCACCAATATTCAACATATGGTTTTGATTGCAATATCAATGGTACGTATACCTTTGGACGGTTAAATTATATTCATTGCTGTGTAGAATGTATCGAACTAAAGCCAATATTGAACGTTTTGTGAAATTGGAATGAGAAAATCATGCTCTAATTCTAAACTTTTCTTGTAAGGAAATAATACGGCCAACAAACCAATTCCACAAGTCGTGTCAAACCCGTTATCTTAACAGGTTCTTATTAGGTGACTCGATAACAACTCAATTAGTTATTAGGTTGTGTCGTTTGAATCGTTTCATGTCAAATAATTAACGGGTTATACAAGAAATTGTCATGCATTAATCATTCGTACAATGGTGAGAATAGTTTGCTTTAAACTTCGACCAAAAAAATTTTGCTTTTAAACCAGCATTTAAAAATTCTCTCTGCAAAAACAACATAATCGAAAACACAAGGAGTATTTATTTATTGGGGTTTGAAATGTAATTTGGATGTCAATTTACTAGTGCAGAAAGTAAGATTTCTCTTGGTTTTTAGGCCTTAAGAAGAAAAATAATGTTCTCGTGAATTGATCTAGGGTTTCAGTTTGATGGAAAGTTTGGTGGTTTGAACTTTTAATAGCAGCCACATCCATGGAAGCAATCGACATGCAAGCCAGAAAGTTATCCATCTCTTAACACAAAAACAGAAGAAGCTTTTATTCACCGCTTCAGTTGCACCAGAAAATGTGATGTTATTTCATGAAAATGAAACTTACAGCTACCTGAAACATAATTGTTTCAAAGGAAAACCCTAAAGTTTCAAAACTGAATTCTAATTAGTACTTTTCATGTTCACTAATACCAGACAATTGGTTACTTATGTTTTTTGAATCTCTCTATCATCCTCAAATATGTCTAACATATATAATACACACCTTTTTAACAAACATTTTGACACATTTTTTTGTTGGGCCGATTCTGAATATATTTCAATGATCCAACCGTCTATCTTTTATGTTTTACTTCAAAGATCATCTCTACCAAAAATCCCTATATCCGAAATCATATGACCGTTAAATCAAATTTAGTGTTTCTTTGCAAAATCGTATTTGCCTATTTTCTTCACTAGAAATGAATATCTTGATGGTTTTGGATTTATCTAATTTTTTGTAAGAATGATCTATGAATAATGTATTAAAATAAGAACAATTTGGATCATTAAACTTGAAATACATTACGAAATAAGCCTTATAAATTGGTTGTCATATATATATATATATATATATTAGTTTTCTTATATATGATAGCGTTCACGTTTGAGGAGTAGTTGTGCAGAGCAAGACCCATTGAGCCATTAAATATGTGGAGCCGACTGATTTTTTTTTGTGGTCATTTGAGCCAACTGATAACTTCATGAATTTCGACCTTTAAATATAAATGCTAAGCCCTACTGTTGTTCAATCTCATACACATGCAATCCATGTGTCACCCATACGTTTTATAAAGAAAGAAACTTGTTGGATTCTGCTGGGTTTAGAATTGGTTTTTCCTACCTTATGATATGGCAATGGATCATACTCTTTTATTCCTTTTATTTTTAAATCTTAAGAGAATCTCCACGATGAGTTGAAAATTTTTATTAGTTAGTTTAGAAACATTACAATGAAGGGGACGTAAAATCTGACCTCAACTATAAACATTCTCAAAGAAAATAAATATATCTCAAAAGAAGCTACCTTTGGTGCAAGTGGCTTACGACTCGGTATGCTTGTGGTTCTACGTCCAAATTCTCCTGTCAGTAGTTTAGATAAATTTAATGTAGATTGTCCTATCATTTGTTATAAATACAAAAAATAAAATAAAAAAAAACTATTTTTGGTATGCCTCTTTTCTTATGATATGAGGATATTAGGGTTCAATTGTTCATTAACAATTTATGGGTTGTTGGCTAAGCTTTGTTGCTAACTTGCTAGTTCAATTAAGAAAATTTTGGGTCCTAGCTAATGGGTTGGTGGCCGTTTGGGCCTACAAGAATTTATTGGCTTGGACTTAGCAAATTTACTTGTTGATGGACTCAAGCAGAATTTATTGTTAATTGGGCCTAGCAGATAGTTTTGGGCCTTCTTATACGGAAAGAAACTTCGGCAAAGCTATCTGATTAGGGTAATTCTCATATAGAAAAGAATTAACATAGAGTTAAGTGAAACCAAAATATAGGAAATTCCATTAGTTTTGTTAGAGACCAAGTAGGCAGTAGTTTTTCTCTTTTACCATTGATTGCTGTGAATGTATGTTTAAATAACAGCATTTATAGCAAATCAAATCAAAGCAAAAACAACATAAATAAAATGCTGAAGTAAAGAAATTGTATGAAGGATTAGATCAGTTCATAGCTTTTGCCTCTTCCTTTAACTTTCCAAGCTCTACAAGCAGAGTCAGAATAGCCTCACACATTTCTGAGGCATCAGCCTCACCTGGGTTCCTTTTCTTTGTAGAATAAACCATCCAGGCATGATCAAGCTTCCTGTCCGGTCGGACCACAACCGAACCTGGAACTTCAGCGTCACGGCAGGTTACTAACCCGTCACTCTTCTCCCCATACCGGAGTTGGAGATGAAGTGCAGTCAAGGCCATGGCAGCAGATAAAGGAATCACTACTGGCAGCTGACGCCCTGCTTGAATGATTTCATCTGACTCTTTATTGCCAAAGTTTGGTAGGGGGAGCCAGGGAAGTTCTGCATGCGCTATGTGTGTCATTGTTGCAAGGACGCCGGGAGCAATGCTGGCCTCAGAGTGGAAGGAAATCAAAGGAATTTGCTCTGCGGGAAGTTTGTGATTCAAGATAAACTCCTTTCGCTTCTCGTATGTAAGATCCTCCAGTGCCCGAATGTCACCCTTCCAGTGCAACAGAGGGCAATGAACAAAACCCCAACAAGATGATTGAAGGAAAAACTTTCCATGATTATGCATTTGGAAATTAATGTAACAAAAATACGCGTAACAAAACATTGATCAGCGAATAATTGAAAACAGAAACCTATTAGGAAAGGCCTTGAAAACATATAGTACTAGATTGAGTTTATAAAATTCGAAAAAGGGAATGCCATGATGTTTGTGTTTTGTAAAAAGTAGCTATTACCTTAATTAGCTTGCATATCAAGAGCTCCATGATCCGGCGGGTTTCTTTATCAGCAACCTGGCCTTCACGAAGACAATCAGAAGCCAATGGAGTGCCGCCGTATGGGCTCTGTACCAGTGCTAAACCAGCCACTTTGTCTTTCAAATCACCCCAGTAGACTGATAATGCAGCTGCAGCATCCACACCACCTTTGCTGTGCCCTAGCAGCATAACACGCTTACCGGATCCCCAATATAGTTCCTCGATATATTGCTTGAGTTCCCATGCATTGTGCGCAACCGATGCCTTTGTACAAAAATAACATGAAAAAAAGAAGACTAATATCATTTTACAAGTTCAGTAGATCCTTAAAAGGTCAGTAATAAGTAATTACCTCGCTGTGAATTTTTGCAATATGGCACGCTAGACCCATCTTCGAAAAGAATTTCTTAGTTCCAACAAAGTATAAGGGGCCGTGATTGCTAAAGAGGCCTGAAAGTTCAAAGTTCCTGTTAACTATTTGAGCAAAACGCTAAATGTGGATTGAACAGGTGAGAAGAACAAAATCAAAACTCAGGGAAAAGTAAATCTTCTGTACCGGGAATTAGTAGATAGACATATGAGCTGGGAAGTCTGTGCTTTCCATTCCTGAAGTATACAGCATGGCATACAAGCAATAAGAATGTATAAACATATGAACACACTAGTAAACACAATTGATCAAATATCTGAACAGCACATAAAAACAAATTGAACCCAGTTCTTAACAGATCCAACCGTCTAGTGCAGTCGAGCTTATTATATTAGTTGGTACCTAATTCCTGCAAGCAATTCCAAAAATCTTGCTGTACCATCCTCCACACCAGGCATGCCGTCAGTGCGCTGCAACCATCCAATATCATCTGCTGAGCCTCGCAATGATTTCTGTATTCGAGATGCAATGCTGACAAATGCAAAATGAATGTTAACCTACTAGAACCTAAAACAATGAACGATGACATGGAAAAGCAACAAATTACTTACTCGAAGTAAAATAAAATCCAATCTGAATTAAAACTAAAAGAAGCTATTCATTAAATATGGAATATGGATTCATCAGTTTGCAGTTTTGTATAACTAAAATCTGCTTGTTTACCTACAAATTCGAAGATGAGCACATCTAACGTATGCCACAGAGCTTCTGCAACAAGACATTGCCAACCGCCATGCAAATTGTAAACCATGTAATGGCAGTACTAACCTGCATCAGGATGAAGCAACAGATTAAACATTAAAATTAATCATTCAGTTTGAAACTTAAAACCAGATGGGATCATGACGTTATATCGTAATTGGACCAAATGGTATTACCCTTTAAAAATGAATGGGACAACTGCATAACTGGACTTGGCAGCTACAATTTCAGTTCTAGCGTCTTCCCTGGGCTCTGAGACTCTTTCACAGATTCCAGGGTTTTGACCGGATAAACAAGATTTTGAAGACGATGAATAACCTTCAAAAAATGAATTACAAACACCGTGTCTCAATGATCTTAAATACTGTCCAGCAGAATTGACCAGCAAATCATCTGAACATCTATCAGCATCTGTACGTGCGAGATCCTCTGCAATAACATCATTTCCAAATCCATCCATTACGTTCTGAGAATATAACATCAGCATCAGCATACATTATGCAGCTACGCATACATGTGACCATAGAAAAAACTACTCACCGATAAATTGAACAAACCGATGACTAATATAACTAGCCAATGTCAATAGACGGGTGAAAATGTCATCCATCGACGAATACAATCCCAAGCTATCGAAAAGAAAACTTTTCTTCCTCACAGTATCATTACAGACCTGATGCAATTACCTATATTAGCACTTTAAACACAATGTTAAAAAGCAAACTTTAAAGAAATTAAAACTCAATAAGTTAATTATAACTTTGTTGCTAATCTCAATATGGACCGGAAGTTGCTTCCGAATTTTAACATGTTGATGTAGATCAGATGGCGGAATGGATCGAAGATTAAGACGAAAGGCGAAAAAATAATAGTTACAAACTTACAATAGAGAAGAGATTACAAAATATACACTCACTCACAGAAAAAAGTAGAGATCGTCTACAATAATGCAGAATTGTGAAGTTGAAAGTACTTACTGTGACAGGCATTTCAGATATATCATTCTCAAAAACCACATCGCCCATTAACTCTTTGAATCCTGAACTTACAACAAGAAAACTTAAAAGGTTGGAACTTTGACACTATTAAGGTACAACAACAAAAACCCAGATGAGCAAATCAATCATATGGAACAAAAAACACAACAAAACAACTCCATTATATCAAACAAAATGCAAGTAAAATAGCAGAAAGATAGCAACTTACAGTCAAAGAAGGACGATTTGAAAACCCCAGAAGCAGGTTCCTGTTCAGAAGCAAAGGCAGTTGAATTTATAGAGGGAAGAGTGAGGGACAAGTATCTACAGACCCCATTTCCAATGAAGTCCAAACTAAATTTCGAAGTTGAAAGCTTGAAATAAGTGAAGTTAATGAATGAGAAGGACAAGAGAGAGAAGTGGATTAGTGGAATATTGGGAATGGTACCAACCGAATGAGAAAAGAGCTGTCGTGGGGGATGCAATGGAGCAATAGATTATCGTTATCCAGTCACCTTTATTTCGTGGATGCTCTGGCCCACCATAGGACTTTAGCAGCAGCCAAAGTGGCAAAGGGAGATAACTTATCTTCGAGATGTTAGAGCAATATCTTAAACTAATCGTAAACTGTTAATATCTTTAAATGAGAGTGTTAGATTTACAACATTGTTATAATGACTTATGTTGCATTAGTCTTTTTTAAGCGGAGATAAATGATGAGTGAATTAAACTTAACATTTTTGTATAACATGGTTCAATGTTTGTTGAACGAAGAAATGCTGGAAACTTCCAATGTCAATTGTATTAGGAAAATATATTTTCATTTCACAAATGAATAAAATTACATTGAAGGTATATATATATAATGGACGCTGAATTCGAGGAATTAGGGTTTGAAGATGCAGGCGGTGGAAGAATGTGAGAATCCGATGCCGAGGAAGGAGAAGCAGAGGTTGCCATGGCCAGAAGAATAGAGAGAAGAAGAGTGCAGTAGTGATCAAGATCGATGACGAGCAAGATCGAAGAAGAAGATAATTGATCAGCAGAAAAATCACATAGAAGAGTGCACAAAAGGAAGCAGAAATTTGGGGATCGAAGAGAAAAGTCGGGAGACAGTGGCGGGTGATACCATATTAGGAAAATATATTTTCATTTCACAAATGAATAAGATTACATTGGAGGTATATATACAACATGTGTGAGCTATCTCTGGTATACCAACTCTCTAACTAAGAGGAATCTTATCATAACAAACTAACAGTTTTCCTTGGTCTCTAAGTATTGTCCCTAGAAGATGAATTTACATTATTATCCTTAATAAATTGAAGGTAGAAGATGTATTAGTCTATAAAAACCACCTACCATTTTTATGAGATTTAGAAGAGAGTCGTCTTCAAATTGGCAAAAATGTACGAGTTGACATTCATTTCGTCATTCAACAAATGAGTATTTTGAAAAACTAATAAAAAAATAAAAACATTGGCAAACGGAGAAATCATTTTTAAACTTCCGCCATAACAGTAAAACCCAGAATTTGAGGATCGAAACTCGGAAGCAGTGACAATTGTAGGGTAACAAGGGGGACAAGGCTTGAACTTTGAAGATGGAGAAGTATACGTGGTGCCTTTCTGGTGTGTGCAGAAAACAGTCAGCGAGTGGAACAGCTGGGACCCACCAAGAAGACGTCTATGTCTCTCTGTGACAACTCAAAATTCCAAGCGGATGGCTCGCTCGTGTGTGAGAGAATAAGAAACACACGGCGCATTGGGAACGAACTCTTTTGGGTTGGTGTGTAGACATCTCTTTGCTCAATGAACCATGCTGGGAATCCTACGTCAAACTCAGTCGCTGGGCAATTTACATGGCACGAAACACTGTTATGTTGATTTTGCCGGTTCCGGATAAATGAGGAGGGAGAGGACGTCAAATAGTCGACATCAGACATTCTTATCTTACGTTGAATCCTTATGATAATGAATTTTAAATGAAATGAGACTAACCGAACGACGTTCTAGGATTCATATAACCAATCTCACTTAGTGGAAAAAGACTTTATGCCACGGAACACCATCACATTGGTGTCCGCACCATGAAAGTCCTCTGGTCCGTCACGCTCTAAAACTTATCTTTACCACCTTCATTTGTCTTGGTGATCACTTTGCATACTTTAACCATTAAAAGATAGCTTTCAGGTGTCTGAATTTCTTACAGGTAGCAACTAGCAATAACAGTTTCAGCTACCGGGATTAGAAGAAAGAAATTATTTACAAAACAGGAAAATGTGAAATATGTTACTTACAAAACAGTTGAAAAGCTTTACTCACAGTTAACTTCATGGTGTAGCATTTAAACAGACTCTTTCTACAGCTTCACAGGTAGAACAAGAAGCGATCGGAAACTGCCTCATTTCTATTTCATGTGCTAACATCTCCGCCTCTGTTCGTCGGGGAATTTCAGCAGAACTTAACGGAGTTTTAACTGAAAAACTCGGTTGTACCAAATCGAATGAAGTGTCATGTGGAAGAGATCATACTTGAGGGGTTTAGCATGCCACAGAAAATGTTTCTGAACCTTCCTGACGCCTAGTTGCAGCTGCAGATACTTCTCTTCTGGTATCGAAACTAGTAGCTCTTTCAACTTTGGAATGTCTTGCTCTGCAAGAATCACAGAGAATGCCCCCCAATCCAAAACCTCAAAAAATGGCGGCACAAAGTTGTCAGATATGATCACAGGTACGCACTCATAAAATATTGCTTCAACCACTCGCGGACTGTTGACCTCATAACCCTTGGGGCAGATACAGTATTTGCTGCTCTGCATGTGGTGGATGTAATTCAATTTTCTTGCAACACCGGGAGGCATTGGGCCAAAAATCTTCATATCGGGGTCTTTGTCCTTCCAGTACTCTAGCAGAATTGGACGTAAGTAGCCGTGCATATTTCCAGCATAAAAGGCAAGAATCTTCCTCTCAGAAGGAGGTTTGCCTCCAAGATCTACAAGGGGATTTCTCTCTGAACGAACATATGTCTCTGGAAGAGACACATCCCTTGCTATTTTGAAGCCGGATGTTGGATCAGCATTGCAAAGCGCTTTGATGCAGCGCTCCATGTGGTGCCTTGTTTCATATGGAGCCTAGAAAAGTCAACCTCACATGTTAGAAAGGCATGCACTCTGAGACACACGCATGTAAGAAATACATTTGTGTCGATGTCCACTATGATAGGATTCGTTTTCATGAGAATCTTGGCAGTACGTATGAATCTCAAAACCATTTGTGGAATCCCATTTTACTATCGTAGTATCTTATCACTAATAACAAAGCAGATATTAGTCATGAAGGAAAAAGCAAGAAAAAATAAAGGTGCATGGAGAGCGTACCCAGTCATGGCAAGCAACAAGAAAATGATCTGCGCCATCAGTTCTGTTGAAATAAGGATACTTTGCTGCAATTGTTTCGGAATATTCCTTCAGAAATTGGCGTAGGTTTGTACGGTTGTGAGAGTTACGTACATATAGAGCGTACTCTAGCATCCGCGAACTAAATGGCATATAAAACAGATGAGCCTTGCTAGGATCCTTGACAAGAAAGCGCTTATATCCCTGCATCAGTTTCATGAACCATCCTTCTGAAGCATATAAACCCTTGAGTATTGGTTGATGAAAGATCGGCTTGTTTCCCTCCTTGTAGATATAGATTTTCAGCGTGCGTTCCATAAGTTCATAACTCCTAAGAACGGAACAAAATGTTACTGTAAAAGGAATCACATTCTTTTAGCATTAAAATTAAATTTACCTCTTAAATTTAATCCTAACTACCTTTTAAACATGGAAACATTTCTAAAGAGAGGAGCATAAAGTTCTGGATCATTTAGTGCAATAGGAGGACGCTCGACCTGTGACTTCGCAGCTAGAATCTCCTGGTCACGTACAGAGGACCATCGTGGTTTCTACAATCAATGGAAGAAGTTAGGAACCCTAACAAATTGATTGGGGGATGATTAGATTAGCAGCAGCAGTATCTTACCGGTGAAAGGGAAGAAACGCGCTTCCGCACTAGTATACGATTCATCTCAGATATTGATGTGATCGACTTTGGTGGCAATTCACACCTCATCTTCTTCTTCCCAGGTCTTGTCATCACTACAGAACCATTTTTTGAAGCCACAACACCACTTTTCAAGGAAGTAGAACCAACGGAAGTGCTTCTATTTTCTAACAAATTCGCTGCAGGTAAAATGAGTGGAGACGAATGAAAAGCAGTTTCAACACCATCAGATCTTTTCGCTGTCACGGTTGAATTTTCTTTTGAAGCATTCTCCCTAGTAATTTCAGAGTTCGGCAACACAATCTTCTTCAAATGGAAGCCATGCCTAGTTTCGTCAGCCTTATGCAAAATAGTAACATTTTCTCGATTCATAATGCTGACTAATGCTAGACTTTCATTTACGACTACAACATTCTCAGACGGGAAATCATCATCCACATTTCGATTAATGTCACTTTCAAAATCATTGTCTATTTCTCTTTCTTCTAGCATTAAATCGATTTCCTTAGATACATCATTTCCCTTTGGTTCAGTACCCTGCCTAATATCTCCTCCAAACATAGAAACATCTATCGAATCCAAAGAATTTACCTTGAGAGGATTGCGAACCATCATGGACTTGGCAGAGGAATGAACAGGGAGGACACTACCTTCGACTTGTGCTGGAACCTCACTGTGAGGCGATAGAGACCGAAGAGCAATGCCATAGGGAATCAAAAGCGACTGAATCGATAAATAAGTAACAGACACTACCCCGAGAAGAAAAAGCCATCTCCGACTCCGGGGTTCTATATTGCATAGCTTAGGAAATTGAAATGTGTACTCCATACTAGGCACTAATACTTGCAATGCCGATAATTCAGAAGCTACCGGAACATCTTAACAGGAAATCGACTCACTTGCAAAACCAAATCCTGCATAGACTCCCACAACAGCACAAATTATGCACAATCAAAATCCAACAGTGCAGCTCATTAACAGTTAGATCATAGATCTGTCCTGAATCGGGGTCATAGCGAAAACCGAAACAAAGAGGTTGAAATTCACTAGTTATTAGCAATTCTGCAGAACAAAGAATTAGCACATCAGCATTTCCAGAACGCTCACAATTAATCACAGAAAATAAAGGTGAGATCTTGCTTAATAGAGCTTGTTAATTCAGGCTAATTAAACACTAGACTCGTAACATGCATATCAGAACTGATTAATTAAGACTAATCTCAGCAACGCTAATCAGAATCCAAGCAATCGCAGTGTAAATTTCAGCTGCAATTAGCAGGCATTCTAATTTATGAAAGAATCTATGCTTTATGAGAGTGAGTAACAGTTGCATTCCCACTAAGCATTAGTAAAAAGGAAATGCTCTTTCCTGTTTGGTTGCCGAGAAAATGAAAGTTTTGAACTGACCTGAGTACAGTGAAGCGCAAAACTTGAGACTGGGATTTCTCTGAAGCCAAACAGAAAAACCCCAGAAACCGATCAGTTGAAGCTTTTTGCAAAGAACACAAGGACCCAGATGAAAACTTTGCAAAGAACAGGGCTTTTCCAAGTTGGGATTTTGGCCGTTCGGAACTCCGTTTGAAGAAGAAAGAGAGAATCTCTCTCATCAGTCACAGTCGCATCCACTTATTATATTAAAATATTTTCTCTCAAATAAAATACTGGCTTTACTGTGACACTGTTCTCTCCTAACGTTTCGATTAGAAGATGCGGTAATGGAACAGATATTCAAGGTCGAAGGGGTAAAAGAAGATCTAAAAAGATTTTGGAAAAGATTCTAAGAAAATAGTTAGAGTACTTGAATCTATCCTAACGCAATATAGCATTATAAAATTCATATAACCGACAATGAAAAAATGTTTTGTTGTTCTTTACTGTGACACTGTTCAAAGACTACCATTAAGTATACGTGCCAGAATTAAGTATTATTATTTCTTTTGTCTATTAAACTGCTTTCCTTCTGGATGGTTAAACTTTTATCGGAAATTTTATTTAAACCCACATAACATCTCTCTATATCAAATTTAAACTTTAAATGTGAATTGTCTTTTTTACTCTATTGTATAATTATCATAAAGTACAAGATGAAGTTAACAATAAAACTAAAATTTATGAATAAACTCATATCCTTTAATTAAACTCTGTCATCACTCCTTATTTATCCTACATTCATTCCGACAAAACCCCTAATAGCTCTTATAATGAAAACAAAGCTTTAAGAAAAAGATCAAATCATGAAATCTTTCTACATCACTGATCTCTACTGGGTTGGGTTTTCAAAAAGAACCGGACTTGGCTGCTGCAAATTCAGCAGTCGGTCCTGCTTACACCCAATCACGGGTGGACACGTGTCCAAGTTCTGATTATACCCAATTACAGGTGGACACGTGTCGACCCGTAATTGGGTGTAAGCATGACTGGCTGCTAAATTCTTTAGCAGCCAAGTATTTTCCTTTCAAAAATCCATTCGGAAATTTGAAACTTTAGGAAAAAGACCAAATAAAAATTCATTAAAGCAATTGACAGAAAAATTAAAAAAAGCAGAAATCTCTATTTTTAAAGAGCTAAAATTTCAAGGAAAATACTTGCCTACTGACTAATCAGTACTTATTTTACGCACTGAGTTATGTGGACCAACAAAAATAAGACATGTGTTAAATGCTTAACCAAGTATCCAAACACCCCTTTTTCTTATTAATCGCGTGACCAAACTACCCTCTTCTTCCTCCAGCAACTCTGCAATTCTTTCATGTCATGGATACCATGGCTCCTCTTCTCCGGCGACCCAACGGCCCAATCCCACCAACAATCATTATCTTCTCCGGCGACCCACTTCCAATCTTTTCTCTTCTACAACAACGAGACTGATTTTTCAAATTCGAAATCCCTTTCAATCCGGAAGGGAAGGGTCGTTGGTCTCGACAAGGGAAGTGGTAGTGGGGTGGGATGACAGTTTCAGGAGGGAGTAGGAGTGGGATGACGGTTGGATAAAGTGGGGGTGGTTGACGGAGGAGAGAGGCTAGGTGGTCGGCGTCGACGGATCATCCATGGCAGACATAAGAAAAAGGAAGAGGAAAGTCGGCGTCGGATCATCCATGGCAGACATAGGAAGGGGAAATGTTGTGTTTGGTTATGGATTTAAAATGATAGCTAGTGTTTGGTTAGAAAATAGCAAATATAGGGAAATTGCTTTTACGGGACACGTGTTAAAAACTTATTGCGTCATTGTAGAAGGTCAGAAAATTGGGTACTGACTGTTCAGTACCCAAGTATTGTCCAAAATTAAAAGAAATTTTAAACCCATCTAGCTCTCAAAATGGCATTAAGTTGTAAGAATTCAAAATTTTCAAGGAGGACCTTTTGAAGTTTTGTTGTGGGTTTGATTTCTGAAATAATTTGGGGTTGCCTTGCCTGTAGATGCAGATATTGGGCATGAGGCAATGCTACATTGATTAGGTTTTGCAAAATTGAAGGCAGAGATTTTGGCGACTGCATTGTAGATAAATGGGTGTATAGCTAAATTTATAAATTGAATTGGGTTTGTGAGGATAGTTAGGTAATAAATTTGGGTTTAAAGAGATATTGGTTTCTTAATTAAAAGTAATATGGGTGTAAAATGTAAATTGGATGTAGATATAGGTTGTATGAGTTCACATAAAATTTCCCAACTTTTACTAAGTTTCACGAAAATTTACTCTTCTCCTGGGCATAGTCTGTATCGACTGAACTGAGATTGATGTGTATCAATGATTCAATAACAAAATGTATGTCAAGGATTCAATGCGTAAAGATTTAATGATTAAGGATCTAGTACTAAAATGATCCCTTTTTACTCTATTAATTGGCATAAAAGGTCACAAAGACGATATCAGTTGAAAGGACAGTATGCTTGTATCTTTGATTTTGTTAAAAAAAAAAATTGTGTAAATTAAAGTAGTTTAGAATCATTTTCTAAAGAATTCTTCAAAACATACTTAACAGAAGAAATGATGGTGACATCCCGATCGTGTTAATTAATTATTTGGCATATTACACAAAAATTTAGGACTCACTTGCATTTTAATCTCTTTTGATTCATATTGATCACATTCAACCTAAGAACAGATTCATCTAGACAATTCTTCCGAAATTTTTCTCAACGTAAACAAATTGGAAGCAAGCTATATTGGCTTTAAAGGACCCCTATCAAGGTTGAGGTTACACTTTGGCTTTATTCAATTACATGATTGCCACTGTCGACCGTTCCCACCGGATAACTTTGCCAGGTACTACATTATTCACTAACATGGACGCCCCGGTCGAAGTGCTGTCATTACGTGGTGCGAACCCATACACGCAGGTCTGTTGATAAGTATCAGTCCCATGCCCAGATTCTTCCTCCGAATCTGAAACATCAGTGTCATGAACCACTAGGCCCTCTACACCACCAACATTAAACTTGCTAGACATCGACTCGTTTGAGCAACCAAGTACGAACATTGACAAACGTTTTGCTATTTATATTATGTTTTTATATCACATTTTTAAATCATCTTAGATGGCATCTGATGTAGATAATTACATCACTTGAAAAATTTGTAAAACCCAAGGAAATGAAGGAGAATGACATATCGTATACCACAATCATCATTTAATTAACTATTTTTTCTTAATTATTAGTTTATTAAATAATGAACTAAATTTAAAATTTTGATTAATTCAAATAATGTGACTATTCACATCAAATGTCACCTAAAGTGATATGAAAATATGATACAAAAACATGGTATGAATATCATTACTCTAGGGCTAATGTGAGGAGGGAGAGGGCTGTTTGGTTCTTAAAATAGCAAAAGTTTTTTTTTTTTTTTTGAAACTTAACATAGCAAAAGTTAATAAAGCATTAAAGGGACAACTGTGCTGATTTTATTGTCCCATGTCATTTGATCAGTAAATTGGGTACTCCCTAGTGAACACGGTATTATCTTTAATAAAAATAAATAAACAAACAATGTTTCTCTTTTTGTACAATGATATATTTTACACTATGAGAGTGAGAGTTCGGCTAAGCCACACATTGATAACTTAATTTGATATTGAATTCGTCATCCACAAGATTTAGATCTAAGATATTTCACTTACAAGTGAAAAGTAATACTACTGTACTGTAGTACTAAATGACAATAAACAATCAATGAGTCTAACAATTAGCTTGACTAACGAGAGACCGAAACCAAATGAAGTTTTTTTTTTTTCTTCATAGATAGATTTTTAAATGGGTGTAGGGAATAGATTTAGGCTTTATGGTTGGGTAAAGTATTGTACTTTGGCGGGGCTGTGAGCAAGCATTGTGTCTTGCTTGATGGAAGCAGCTTCATGCTTTTATGCTTTATGCTTATGTAAAGTGATAAGGCGAAGCAAAGCATCTCCTTTGCAGAAAGAACAAGTAATGGTAATGGATCTTTCTCCTCTCTTATTGTTCACTGTTTCATGAACTATATATTGTCAATTTGTCAAGACCTTTCATTCATCAGCTTCCAACACTCTACGCCTCCACCCTTCCTGTGTCCTTTATCTATTTCTCTATTCTCTGCTCTTCTCTTATCTCCATTGTCTCTCGCGCGAGTATGGACGCTGCAAAGGTGTTAGAAGTTCCCTACACTTTTCCGGTGGAGGGAATACTAAAGTCGGTTGCTTCACTTGCTGCTCAAGAAATCAGTCTTTTCCGAGGATTCAAAAAAGAACTAGATGAGCTTTCTGAATCGTTAATGGAAATTCAAGAGTACTTAGGAGATGTTGCACACCAACCACAGGATCGGGTCGTGGCAGTCAGAAACTGGGTCAAGAAACTGAAAGACGTAGCTCATGATGCCAATGAAGTCTTGGAGGACATCAACTACGAAGTTCTCCGGCGTAAAGCAGAAATTCAAAACCACATGAAGAAGAAGGTACTTAACTTCTTTTCGCTCTCCAATCCCATTTTATTTCGTCAAAAGATGGCACACAAGATTAAGAACATCAGTGCGTCACTGGTGGTTCTCAAGAGTGATGCATCTCGGATTCCCTTGGTTGCAAGGAGAGTAGATCAAACCCCTCCAGGTATGGGGAACAGAGAAACCGTCTCAAGCTTCCGTCACGATGAAAAGATCATTGGAAGGGAGAAGACTGTGTCGGATATCATTGCAACCTTGATCGAGTCCAAGAATCAGGAAGAGTACCTTTCGGTTATGGCCGTTGTGGGATTGGGAGGACTCGGAAAGACGACTTTGGCAAAATCAATATTCAATGATGATGCTATTGGTAGACATTTTCAGGAAAAAATGTGGGTGTGTGTGTCCAACACCTTTGAGGTTAATTCGATTCTAAATCGGATGTTAGAATCCCTTAACTCAAACAGGACAGGAGTTACAAGTCGGGCAGCATTGTTGAATAGCCTCAAAGAAAGGTTGACAGGGAAGAGATATATGCTGATACTCGATGATGTTTGGAATGAAGAAGAGGATTTATGGAGCAGTTTTAAGGATTGTTTGTCTGCACTCAATTCTGCTACCGGAAGCATTGCCCTTGTTACTACCTGCAGTGCTAAGGTTGCATCAATCACGGAGACAATGCCGAGGTGTGATTTGGGGTTCCTACCAGTGGAGGATTGTTGGTCCATATTAAAAGGTGAAGCGTTATCAAATGGTAATGCTCTTCCTCTAAATTCAGATCAAGAGCGCATTGGAAAGGACATAGCTAAAAAGTGTGCTGGTTTACCATTGGTGGCAAAGGTATGCATTGATATATTATTATATTCCCCTTTGTTGTTCTGTATTTGAAATTCTATTTTAATAACATAATATAGAAATAGAAAGATGGGTGGGGGTTTTTTGGGTTTAATGGGAAAAGATAGGTGACCTCCAAGCGTTTTTATTTTTATTTTTTATTTTTTTAATAACAAGTGATATTATCTATTAAGAGGATGGGAGAGTGAGCTAAACCTCACAATAGGTGAGCCATAATAATATGGTTCAGATTTACCTTTGTCGAGAATCCAACCGAATACCTCTCACTTACAAGTTAAGAGGAATACCACTAGACCGTAGTACTAAGTGGCTCATGATGAATAAGAAAATAAACAATACTTAGATTTCCTAGTGCTCATCTCTACATTTGCAAATAAATTTATGAAAAACACTATAATATTACAATTATTTGAATGTTACAAAAATAATTTACCTATTGTTTAATTTTACGAAGATGATGTTTCTACTACTTTTTGTGTCTTGAATTTTAATTTATTTTTTGTTTATTTACCTATTGTTAATTTTTGCAAAAATAATGTATGTATATATATATATATATATATATATATATATATATATACACACAACTATAATTTACCTACTATTTAATTTAGGGTCAAGTACATAAATCTACCTAACTTTTATGGTCGATTTAAAATTGGTCCCAACTTTTTAAAATATTCTAAACAAATACATAATGTTTTGAAATTTGGACATTTGTTAGGTCACCGACGTTAAATGATAACGTTACTTTACTAGTGTAAAATGATGACACAATAGATAAATTGAAGAGCACGTTCGAATTTTTACTATCACGTCATTTATGGAGCTCTGAATTGTCAAAACTACACCTTTTAGCCAAGCGAAGTTAGGGTTTAACTTGGCTAAAATTGGTTTGTTACATAATTCAAAACTCCATAGCTAACGTGCTAGTGAAAATCTAAGCATGCCTTTCAGTTTATTTGTGCATGTCGTTACTTACACTTAGTGACCTAACATATGCCCAACTTTCAAAATGTTAGGTAATTATTTGGAATGTTTAAAAAGGTTGAAATCAATATGAAATTACCTTTAAAAGGTTGGATGGTTCCACATACTTAACCCTTTAATTTAACGAAGATGATGTATCTACTATTTTTTGTTTATGAATTTTAGTTTATCTATTGTTTATATTTTATAAAGATAATTTACCTATTGTTTTTTTTTATATGAAAACATACCTATTGTTTAATTTTTTACGAAAAAATTTTATTTACGTTTTATTTTTACGAATATAATCTACCTATCTTTAATTTTTACGAAAAATATGTACATACTGTTTTTAAAAACATAATTTATCTATTGTTTTATGTTTACGAAATTAGACAGATAGATTTGGAAGACTAATTTGATAGATTTTAATGTCATATCAAGGCAAATAATATGTGAGAGAGAGATAAACGTTAATAAAATGTAGTGGCATGAGTTTGAATTTTCTCACCAACCCTGTTAAGCGGTGAGCGTTACCACCTTTCTTAGTACATGTCATGTTTCGTGGCTTAACCATAATTAACTAATTTATTTTTTATACATATAAAATAATAACTTAATAAGTAAATTATAAAATAATTACCACCTTTCTAGGTATGGCTTGCATTTTACAAAACGCTCTTTCAAACTACCGCCTTTACGAACTCTTCAATTACTAAGTTATATACATGATGATTTTATTCTAACACTTGTATTTAACTGATCTAATCAAGTATTAAACTATTAATTTATTTGTTAACAGGTTTTGGGAAGCGTGATGCGTTCTAAATATAGTACACGTGAATGGTTGTCAATTCTACAAAGTAAGATACGGGAATTACCAAATGAAGAGGAGAAAATCATGTCGGTTTTGAAGTTAAGTTTTGATAATTTGAAGTCGCCATTCTTGAAACAATGTTTTGCACATTGTTCAATGTTTAGAAAAGATTTTAAAATTGAACGAGATAACTTGGTCCAACTCTGGATGGCTCAAGGATATCTCCATTCCTCTCCCAACATGAGCATGGAGGATATAGGCAATGAATATTTTAATATTCTATTGCAAAACTCCTTGTTTCAAGATGCTATGGAAGATGAGTACGGTGTTATTACGGAATGCAAGATGCACGATCTTGTGCATGATCTTGCAGAGGAAGTATTTAAATCTGAAAGCTTGATGGGGGACTCTGACCAGATGGATGATGCACTTGAGATTCAGCATGTTGCGCGAATTTCTTCCACAACACTTGAAAGAATTCCACAAGGGAGTGTTGGGAGATTGCGGTCGTTGTTTGTTGATTGGGAGGTCCCTAGTAACATCTTCCAAAGGTTTAGAGCTTTACGGACGTTGAATTTATTTGGGGCTGCAATAGAGGATTTGCCCAGCTCAATTGGAAAGTTGAAACACTTGAGGTATCTCAACATTTCTAATACAGGAATAAAAAAACTCCCAAAATCTATTGGCAAGCTCTATAATCTTCAGACGTTAAGAATGTCAAGAACATTCTTTCATGTAACGTTTCCTAGGGAGATGGAGGAAATGGAAAATTTGATCAACTTGAGACATGTTTATTTTGATGAGGATCAGGAAGTTCCATTTGGGATGACAAGATTGACTCATCTGCAAACGCTACCTTGTTTTATTTTGGATAGAGCAAGGCGTCATAGACTTGATGAGCTAGGTGGGTTAAATGAATTGAAAGGGCAACTAGTTATTGGAGCATTGGAAAATGTGAGAGACAAGGAAGAAGCAATGAAATCAAATTTAGCGGGAAAAGCAAACCTACGAAAATTGGAATTAATATGGGGACGTCGCAATTTTGTTGACGGGAATATTGTTGGTGGACTCCAAATTCTTGAAGGACTGCAACCGCACCCCAACTTAAAAAGCTTGACGATTCGGCACTTCATGGGTACTAAATTTGCATCATGGATGATGAGTGAGTTGCTCATCAATTTAACAGAGATTGAGTTAATCCGTTGGATGGACTATGAAGCACTCCCACCACTGGGACACTTGCCGAGTCTTGGAAGTGTTTTTATTGAGGATTGCCCAAAGCTGAGATGCACTTCAATTCACAGTCTGCCCTCACTCCGTAAATTGGTTATTGTAAGATGTACGTCTCTTGAGGGGTCGGAAAATCCACAGTCGACGACTAGCACTACTCTCCAGCAGCAGCAGCAGCAGGAGGACTTGTCTTTAAACGGTTGCAAATCCCTCCGTGAATTGAGAATTGAAGAATGCAATGGATTCACAAGTATACTGAGTGGGCTCCATTCTTGTACTAGTCTTCGCACACTGTGGATCTCGCGTTGTCCAAATTTGAGGACGTTGTCGGGTCCTGGGCTACAAACCCCCACCTCTCTTGAGATTATGTCTATACGGAAATGTCCTAATCTAAAGGCTATTCCCAGTTTAGACAACCTCACGTCCCTCACTGAGCTGACTATTAGCACATGTGATGGATTAACAAGTATACCGAGTGGGCTTGCATCCTGCACATCTCTTACCCATTTGTCTGTCGATGGTTGCCACAATTTGATATCTTTGGCGGATCACAATTTGTCCGGCTTGCAATCTCTTTCCTCTCTGTATGTATATAATTGTGGGAAATTACAATATTTTCCCAAGGGGCTTCAGTCTCTATCTCGTTTGAAAAGGTTGTGGATCGGTAACTTCTGCAAGGAGCTCGATTCTTTCCCGGATTTTCAGGTCCCATCGGAAAAGTTAAATTTATACGGGTGGCCTAAGGTCAAGTCTCTGCCTCAGCCAATTCAACACTCTACTTGTCTAACATCTTTGTCCATTTCTGGCTTCGATGGTGTGGAGGCTCTTCCAGAGTGGTTGGGCGACCTTACATCTCTTACAGAGTTGAAAATTTCCTACTGTGAGAATCTGATGGATCTGCCTACGGTCGAAGCTATGCAACGCCTAACCAAATTACATAAGCTAGTGATCTTCTGTTGTCCCCGTCTCAAAGAAAGATGCGCCAAGGACGGCCCAGAATGGCCAAAGATTTCTCACATTCCAGATATCAGTGGTAATTTTTATTTTTTGGAGCCCTTATTTTTATTTCCAATCAATTACCCATGTATATTTTGTCCAATATTCTTCACTCGCTCTCGTTTTCTGCAATAAACGGGATATTAGTCTGGTGAAAAATCGGAATCATTATCTAGAATACGTTAATCACCGATAAATTGGATTTGTATTTCAGAGCACTTCAGAAGGGAATTCAGTACGAGAATTGATTAAGAGAGGAGAGCAAGCGCAGCTTTTGGTCTGTCCATGGTTTTTTCCAGTGATAATGGGACTCGTGTGCTGACATCGATCATGGGCACAGCTGGTTATCTTGATCCAAAGTATGTTCAAATTTCCTTGTTCTATTAGACCTTTTTATCATGTTATAATGGTTGAATAAAGAAATTTGATGTTTATAGTTTTACTGGACAACCTGCAATCATAGAAAGTGATGATCTTGTCCACATAGTGGAGTGGGTTAATCCTGAATTCCTGCAAAGGGATGTTACAACTATTTTATTTCGAAGGATTTTAGGAGATTTCAGTGTGGATTCGGTCTGGAAAGCCTTAAAACAGCAATGGCATGGACAACTTCCACGTTCCACCGCCCAACATAGAGCCACCATTGATTTTCTGCTGTGTCAACTAACACAATGTTTGGAAACGGAGGTGTCTAAGCATCGAGAAAGAACTCCAGGCTCAAATGAAGAAACTGGTGTTTCTATTTCACCATTCCAGAGTTCACATAGAGTGATTTCCATATGTCCAGATTCCACAAATGCAGGTTCCATGACAGCACCATGCTAGGTAGCTAGTTACGCTTTACCTTTGCTGGTTCCTACAAACTATCTCATTCATCCCATGTTCAAAACTTGGTGGTATAAAAATGGGTGTGGGATCTGTTGTGCAATGAATCAGTGAAGGCTAAATACTAGTATATATCCATATTGTCCTCGACTTAATCACTTTGGTGCAATACTTTGGGTTGTGTCCCTGACTTGTATGACACCACATAACCCTAACAGGAACAATGTTTGAAATGCTTTGACTAGAAAATATGTTGGCTTGACCAATTTGCTCTCTTAGTATGAACATTGCATGATCCATTGATTGTCACAGACTAAACATCTCCATGTAATAAAGATCATGTATGTACTGTGCAAGTTGTGCAACATGAAATTACAAATCCACACTGTCATATACGTTTTTCTGTTTTTTTTATAGGGACATTGTCACACGTTTTAAATGCTAGGTAGTTCATAGGCTGCAATGAGACAAAGAGAGATGAAGATCTCAACTGGTTTCCTCGTCTTACTGCTCTGTGCAAGTTTCGTTCATGGAGAGCGCCAAATAGGTTAGTATTTTCTTTAACAAAAGCGAATGGTATTGCATCCTTCAGATTTATATTTTCTATCCGCTTATAAGTTCTTTTTTATAATGTTATGAATACAAATGTATGAACAATGAGTGGTTTATGATTAGTATTTTTTGGTCTGCAGGTACTATAACTATCAACGGTTGAATAAATAAATTTGACTTTATAGTTTTACTGGACAACCTGCAATCGTTGAAAGTGATAATCTTGTCCACATAGTGGAGCGGGTAAATCCTGAGTTCCAGCAAAGGGATTTTACAACTATTTTGTATCGAAGGATTTTAGGAGATTTCAGTGTGAATTCGGTTTGGAAAGCCTTATAAACAGCAATGGCATGCACAACTTCCACCTCCCAACATAGAGCCACCATGGGTTTTGTGCTGTGTCAACTAACACAATGTTTGGAAACAGAGGTGTCTAGGCATCGAGAGAGAACTCCAGGCTCAAATGAAGAAACTATTTCACCATTCCAGAGTTCACATAGAGTGATTTCCATATGTCCGGATTCCACAAATGCGGGTTCCATGACAGCACCATGCTAGGTAGCTAGTTACGCTTTACCTTTGCTGGTTCCTACAAACTATCTCATTCATCCCATGTTCAAAACTTGGTGGTTTAAAAATGAGTGTGTGATCTGTTGTGCAGTGAGTCAGTGTAGGCTAAATGCTAGTATATATCCATATTCTCTTCGATTTAATCACTTTGGTGCAATACTTTGGGTTGTGTGCCTGACTTGTATGACACCACATAACCCTAACAGGAACAATGTTTGAAATGCTTTGACTAGAAAATACGTTGGCCTGACCAAATTGCTCTCTTAGTATGAACATTTCTTAATCCATTGATTGTCATAGACTAGGCATCTCCATGTAATAAGGATCATGTATGTATTGTGCAGCATGAAATTACAAATTCACACTGTCATATACGTTTTTCTGTTTTTCTGATCGGGACATTGTCGCACGTTTTAAATACCAGGTAGTTCATAGGCTGCAATGAGACAAAGAGAGATGAAGATCTCAACTGGTTTCCTCATCCTACTGCTCTGTGCAAGTTTCGTTCATGGAGAGCGCCAAATAGGTTAGCATTTTCCTTAACAAAAGCGAATGGTATTGCATCCTTCAGATTTATATTTTCTATCTGCTTATAAGTTCTTTTTTTAGCTCAGATTCAAGCAAGTGCAAGTTGATCCAAGACTTGGATCATAACTATCAGCAGTGGCCCTCCTTCTAGTTATAGTGCTCATACTCATATGGAAGCTTAGAAGAAAAAGAAAACCAGGTACCATTTTATACGCTTGATACTCATTCAGTTAGAACCAACGCTGCTACTATGGTTTAGTGGTATTCCTATGATCCTATCCACTATGTCAGAACTCATATCTTTTTGTCTGCTTAAGCTGCAGATGGAGAAAAACATAACTAAACACCTGTAGCATCAAAGAAGTCCCAGTTCACTTACGACGAGGTTTTAGAAAACACCGAAAAATTTCAAACTAAAATCGGGAAAGGAGGATTTGGGATTGTATACCATGGCTACTTGAAAGATGGCACTCAAGTTGCGGTTAAAATACTTTCTCCATCGTCATTGCAAGGAGTTAGGGAGTTCCAAACAGAGGTTTGATGGTTATAATTTAATTCCTTGGAATGCAAGTTAAATGCCTTGTCTCGTTGGTTAGAGATTGATGAGTTCCTTATCGCTGCAGGTTGAGCTCCTGACCAGAATCCATCTAGAAACTTGGCCTCATTTATTGGATACTGTGATGATACCGACAACTTGGCATTTATATACGAGTACTTGCCTAACGGAAACCTAAGAGAATATCTCTCAGGTATGTAGTTCTATGTTTTATAAGCATTGTCCTCCATCACATGGTTGCAGATGCAGATAGAAGCTCACATGTAACTTGGGATATGAGACATTGGATAGCATTAGATATTGCGTTAGGTTGGTGTTGCGTGTTACTTTGTACGCTAATATATTTGTGTAAGTTCATGTGCCTTGTAAAATTTGGCTCATAGGGCTACATTACTTGCATAAAGGATGCAATCCACGTATTCTGCATAGAGATGTAAAGATTGCCAACATTCTCTTAAGTGAAAACTTGGATGCAAAAATAGCAGATTTCAGTATGTCCATGGTTTTCCCTAGTGACAATGAGACTCATGTTGTGGCATCGGTCATGGGCATAGTGGGGTATCTTGATCCCGGGTATATTTAGATTTCGTGTTCTTAGAATTTTGATCATTACACTCCCTGACTGGTTTGAAAAGATGTCAATCGGTGCGTTTTGGGAGGAGCTCGATTCTTTCCCTGCTTTTCAACCTTCAAGTTCCATCACAACTCGAAAGATTAGACTTGTGGGGGTCGCCTAGGCTCGAGCCTCTGCCTATACAAATTCAGCACTTGGGTACTTCTCTAACAACTTTGAAGGTACACGATGTTATAATGGTTGAATAAAGAAATTTGATGTTCATAGTTTTACTGGACAACCTGCAATCATAGAAAGTGATGATCTTGTCCACAAAGTGGAGTGGGTTAATCCTGAATTCCTGCAGAGGGATTTTACAACTATTTTATTTCGAAGGATTTTAGGAGATTGCAGTGTGGATTTGGTCTGAACATTGCATGATCCATTGATTGTCGCAGACTAAGCATCTCCATGTAATAAGGATCATGTATGTACTGTGCAAGTTGTGCAGCATGAAATTACAAATCCACACTGTCATATACGTTTTTCTGTTTTTTTTTATTGGGACATTATCACACGTTTTAAATGCCAGGTAGTTCATAGGCTGCAATGAGACAGAGAGATGAAGATCTCAACTGGTTTCCTCGTCTCACTACTCTGTGCAAGTTTCTTTCATGGAGAGCGCCAAATAGGTTAGTATTTTCTTTAACAAAAGCGAATTGTATTGCATCCTTCAGATTTATATTTTCTATCTGCTTATAAGTTCTTTTTTAGCTAAGATTCAAGCAAGTGCAATTTGGTCCAATACTTGGTCCATTATTATCAGCAGTGGCCCTCCTAGTTATAGTGCTCATACTGGTATGGAAGTTTAGAAGAAAAAGAAAACCAGGTACCATTTTATACCCTTGATACTTATTTAGTTAGAACCAACGCCGCTACTATGGTGTAGTGGTATTCCTATTCACTTAGTCATAACTCATGTATTTTGTCAGTTCACTTATGATGAGGTTCTAAAATACACCAAAAAATTTCAAACTGAAATCGGGAAAGGTGGATTTGGGATTGTTTACCATGGCTACCTGAGGGATGGTACTCAAGTTGCGGTTAAAATACTTTCTCCATCGTCATCACAACGAGTTAGGGAGTTCCAAACAGAGGTTTGACAGTTATAATTTAATTTAATTCCTTGGAATGCAAGTTAAATGCCTTTTCTTGTTGGTTAGCAATTGATGAGTTCCTTATCGCTGCAGGTTGAGCTCCTCATCAGAATCCATCTAGAAACTTGGCCTCATTTATTGAATACTGTGATGATACCGACAACTTGGCACTTGTATACAAATACATGCCTAACGGAAATATAAGAGAACATCTCTCAGGTACGTAGTTCTATATTTTATAAACATTGTCCTCCAGCAGAGGGTTTCAAAATATTGAAGTGTCACGTTAATGGTTGCAGATGCAGATAGAAGTTCACATGTAACTTGGGAAATGAGACATCGGATAGCATTAGATATTGCGTTAGGTTGGTGCTGCGTGTTACTTCGTACGCTAATATATTTGCGTAAGTTCGTGTGCCTAATTCAACTTATACATTGTGAAATTTGGCTCACAGGGCTACATTAGTTGCATAAAGGATGCAATCCACGTATTCTGCATAGAGATGTAAAGATTGCCAACATTCTCTTGAGCAAAAACTTGGGTGCAAAAATAGCAGATTTCGGTCTGTCCATGGTTTTCCCTAGTGACAATGAGACTCATGTTGTGGCATCGGTCATGGGCACAGTGGGGTATCTTGATCCCGAGGACGTTCAGATTTCGTGTTCTTAGAATTTTGATCATTACACTCCCTGACTGGTTTGAAAAAGATATCAATCGGTGCGTTTTGGGAGGAGCTCGATTCTTTTCCTGATTTTCAACCTTCAAGTTCCATCATAACTCGAAAGATTAGACTTGTGGGGGTCACCTAAGCTCGAGTCTCTGCCTATACAAATTCAGCACTTGGGTTCTTCTCTAACAACTTTGAAGATACACGATTTTAGTGGACTGGAGGCTTTACCAGATTGGTTGGGGAACCGTACATCTCTTGCCTGCCTTCATATTAGTTTCTCTTTAACTGTAAATTCTGTCAAACTTTAGTCGCATTACACTCTAAGTTAAGATTGATAAGAGTGAACATTTTGATCTATTTAACTTCAATTGGATGTCCATACTTTTGGTCCAGTTCTATATTATTGTTGTTGTACACTTTTCTTCTACATACAGTCCTACCAGAAATAAAAACTTTCGATCAAGAGATTATTGTTTTCCTTAGGTGAATATTATGACGTCGCTGGCTGGGCCGGCCTTAGAGTTTTATGAACCCTGTGCGGTCGAAACCTGCAGCTGATTAGGCCGGCCCTAACCATTGGTCATTTACACGCGTCCTCGCTATCGGAGTTGAAATTGTACTTGAATGAATCCGACGACCATAAATGACAATCCGACGACCATTTCCTTGTACTTGAATGAATCCCTCTGGTAGCTTCAAATTCAATTTCAGTGGCAAAAGATTCAGTAGTCAGTGTGGTTTCTGTGTATCTCTTTCTTTGCTGCTTGTTTACAGAAACCTTTTAATCTGCACTCACCGGTCTTCTTTTTTAGCATCAAAGAACCTGAAAAACTCGCATCTTCATCTGGTTTTTAACTGAAGAATTCTGTTGTACCAGACTGAATGAAGTACCATATGAAATAAGTCGTACTTCTTGGGTTTCTTGTGCCAGAAGAAATGTTGTTGCACCATTTTTATTCTCGACATCATTGTAAGGTACTTGTCTTCCGGGATTGAGAGCAGAATGTTTCTCAAATTGGGGATGTCCCTCTCTTGTATGAAAACTGCAAATGCCTCCCAATTAAATACTTCAAAGAAAGGAGGCATGTAACTGTCTGATATGATGACTGGCACACACTCGTAGAATATGGCCTCAACTATTCGAGGCGTGTGGACCTCGTAACCCCTGGCACATATGCAAAACTTGCTGCTCTTCATGTATTCCCTATACATTCTTTTGCCTTCAATATCATGCGGCATTGGGCCAAAGATTTTCATGTCGGGTTCTTTGTTTGCCCAGTAGTGTAGCAGGATTGGTCGGAGATAGCCATGCAAGCCCCCGGCAAAGAAGGCCAGGATAGATCTTTCTGAAGCAGGTTTTCCTCCAAGATCCTGAAGAGGATTCTCCACGGAACGTATATATGTCACAGGTAGACTGGTGTCCTTGCCAATTTCGAATTCTCTATCGACATGTGCGTTGCAAAGAGACCTGATGCAATTCTTCATGCACTGTTTTGTGAGCTTGGGGGCCTGAAATTCCAATAACAAGGATGTATTAGATTAAGGCATCGATTGAAGATAGTCTATAATCCATAGGACCTCATCAGTATGAAATAGAAACTAGATTGATGCATGAGAATCATACCCAGTCATGACAAGCAACAAGAAAATGATCTGCCCCTTTCGTTCTATTCCAGAAAGGATACTTTCTAGAAATTAAACCAACGTAGCTCTGCAAAACTTCTTCTAGGACTGTCTTACTCTTACCATGGATAGAGTGTCTAGGAATAGTCAACCTTAGCATATGCGAATCGAAAGGTAAATAGAATAAATGAGCTTTCTTGGGGTCCCTCACAACAAATTTTTTATTTCCTTCAATTAGTTTCATAAACCAGCCTTCTGAGGCATAGATGCCTCTCATCAAAGGCTGATGGAATACCGGCTTTTCACCTTCACTGTAGATGTAAACTTTGAGCATGTGCCCCATCAAGTCATAACTCCTGCAGTAGAGTACAAATAAAATCTCAAGATTGTCACGGGTTTCCAAAAAGAAGCTTACATTTCAAAAATTTTACACTCGAAGGATTCCATATCTGTATAGACTATAGAGATGATAAGCTTCAACGTTAAGCAGATATTTGAAAAGCCCCATATTTATATACAGACACAATTGAAGCGGTTTACAAGCAATCATAAAGAGAAAACAATATAAAGCATTTACTAGATGCACATACGGAGTGGACAGACAAATTGGCTCACCTTATAAATTTGGAGAGATTTCGGAAAACAGAAGCACTAAGTCCTGCATTGTCCCTTATGATGGGAGCATTCTCAATCTCCAGTTTTGCAGATTGTAGTTCACGATCACGTGCTGAGTACCTCCGCAGTTTCTAGTGCCAATAAAAGTACAAGTGAGGATCTGGAAATCTAACTCATTTCTCGTTTCCCAAATTGGAACCTCAAAATTAAATTCATACCATTGAACGAGAAGAAACAGCACTTTGAAGCAATAATGAGTTTATCTGTGATATTGATGTTGGTCGTCGATTCCACTTCCTTAGTACAGAATCTACAGTCATTGTAGAATTATCGTCCAAGGTGACTGAAACAGGTTGCTGTAGCTCAATCTTCTGGTGATCAATTTGGGTTTCTGTATTTTGTTCGACATTGCCCTTTGAATCTACATTCAAGTTTTCCGGTCTCTTTGTAGAGCTTTCTTGTGATACAACTGGTACAAGACCAACTTCATTTCTAACTTCATTAACCTTCAAACCAGAGCTGATTCCAGGGTCGTTGTCTTCCCTGTAACCGTCAACTGATTCATTAGCTGTCTGTAAGTAACCATTTTCAAAATCTGTCTTTCCCCGGATAAAGATACCATCTTCATTTCCACCCGTTCCCACCGGATAACTCTTTCCAAGTGTTACATTATTCTCTAACATGGACTCCCCGGTCGAACTGCTGTCATTACCTAGTGCTAATCCATACACCCAGGTCTGTTGTCTCGTATCATTCCCATGCCTAGTTTCTTCCTCCGAATCGGAAACTTCAGTGTCATTACCCACCAGGCCCTCTACACCACCAACACTAAACTTGCCAGACTTTGACATGTTTGAGCTACCAACATTGGCAAACATTGTGGCTGTTGAAATTGAACCAATGTCAGCAGGGAAAAAGAAAAAGGTTGTGTCATAGGGAAGCTCAAAACACTGGGATACAACTACAATGGCAACCGCCCAGCCGATTACTAACAGCAGCCTCCGGATTCCAATGTTCCAAAATCTCTGGGTTCGAGCAGCAGCAGCATCCATATCATACAAAATGCACAACAGCTGAAACAAAAGATTATACATTTACCACAAAAACTACGATATCCATACACATAATACATGCCATCAAGAAATTACACAAATATTGCCAAATCCAAAACAGGAAAGGATTTAGAATTTTCGTAACGAGCCTTGACGCAGCGGAAAGGTGACTCAAAGGTCGCGGGTTCAAGTCGAGAAAACAGCACTTTTACAAAGCAAAGATAAGGGCGCAGTAGACGTTCCCCACTCTCGCAAAGAGGGAGCTTTGTTAGCTTGGGTTCGTCCTTTTAGTAGCAGCCTACCCACTATATTAAATTTTTGAAAAAAAAAACCCCATAAATTTAAAGACTTTACAAAACCCAACGAGGATTTGACTCACTGTTTTGAACACACTTCAAAAGCTGGAAGAAAGATTATACATTTACCACAAAAACCCAGAAATCTTTATGCATCCCATCAAGAAATTACATAACTTTTCCAAATTCAGATTTCAGAACAGGAAAGATTTATGATTTAAAAAGCAGCCTACCTAATATGCTTAAATTTGAGAAAAAACCCCCATAAATTTAAAGACTTCACAAGATCAATTGAGGAATTAGAATCACTGGTTGCATTGAGAACCTTGAATGAATGGGGGAGCTCCGACTTCAGAAGAGATCTCTGTAGCCTTCGGTCAACTAAAACTGCTACTGCTTCTGCAACTGCTTGGCCAAATTATTATAATCTCAGAATACTCCACGCTGGAAGTGGAAGCGGCAGGGTACAGCTAAAACGCCCTTTCTGTTTCCTAGTATTTACGGTGAAGCCACTCTTTCGTCATCCATGAGCTTTACGCACTGCAAAACCGTATACATTGGCGACAGGAAACAGACAGTAGGCCCCTCCTATTTAGTTCCCTCCCCTGTTTTTTTTCTTTTCATTTTCCTCACTTTTCTTTTGATTTTTTTTAAGATAAAAATCAAGTCAAAATATTGACGTGACCGCTACGGTTCAAATAAGAAAACAGGGAATGAGAGAGATGAGAGAATTTAGTGTTTTCAAACTCTCTGGTTCATATCTCTCATCAAAAGGTGTTAGTTGATAATGTTTATCTAGCAGATCCCTCGCTAACTCGAGCAAGCATTCAAATATCTCTCCTACATTCATTCGTGAAGACACTCTTAACGGGTTGAAGGCCATATAAACAGGCATTCTGCAAATAAGGCATATCTTATCGAGATAAATTTTTTAAAACAATACTTTTATTTTCATGTCTTTCAACAACTTTATCACCTATTTTAATTTTACGTTTTTGTGAAATATATACACGAATCGTTTCTGGATTATAACCAGAACCCTCAGAGCAGAGAGGAGTGCTGCAGGTATTGATCTAAACACTTTACAAGATCAAATAAAAGGAATCAATCATTGTTTTTGAGTACTTTAGTTAATGGGATGTTGGTATTTTTTTAAATATACAATTTATAGTTTTTCAAAATTATAAATATAGTTAAGTTAGTTGGTAATAGTAATCATTAGTTTTAAAAACAGAAAATGGAATCTACGAAGGTACCAAACAAGCCCTTAAATTAGGGGTTTAACGGGACTGCCAAAGAAACCTTGCTGTATCTACGAAGGCCTACGTGTCGTGAACTTCTTTTTTCGAAGAGGAAGTAATGATTGTATCTGGGAAATAAATATCGGCTAACTTTGTGATAGCAGTTGTGGTAATACAGAGAATGCAAGCATTATCCAAAATAATTAGACATAAAGTATCTGTAGGTAACTTTTTAAGTCCACCGTCAAATCCCACGCTCAACCTTGGTGTAACATCCCACATCGTCTAGGGGAGTGGATCTTGTAAGCTTTATATGTAAATTCTCATCTTTACCTAGCCCGATGCCTTTTGGGAGCTCACTGGCTTCGGGTTCCATTGGAACTCCGAAGTATTGGCTGGAAGTGTGCCGACGAGGACGTTAGGCCCCTAAGGGAGGTTGATTGTAACATCCCACATATTCCAGGGGAGTGGATCTTGTAAGTCTTATATGTAAATTCCCATTTGGGAGCTTACTGGCTTCGGGTTCCATTGAAACTCCGAAGTTAAGCGTGAAAGTGGATTTTGTAAGCCTTATATAAATTCCCATTTGGGTGTTCACTGGCTTCAATCACATGATAGGTAACCCACTGGAAAGTTCTCGTGTGAGCTCCTAGAAATAAAAATGTGAGGGCGTGATCGAGGTCCAAAACGAATAATATCGTGATACGGTAAAGTCGAGCCCTAAATGTGGTGGGAGCCCGGACAGGATGTGACACCTGACCGGCTGCGGAAACTACCAAGCTGGAGTACTACGGTGAAAGCCACTTTTTCGTCAAACGGCACGTCGTTCAATTAGTTATCGCGCTCGAAGGAACATGGCCGTTGGCAGTTAGCGCCGCGGGTTAAACCTTAAACCCCCCTCTCTCTCCTCTCTCTCTCTCAATTCTTCCCTGCAAAACTCTCACTTTGAAAGCCCCCTACTGTCAGCTGCTGCGACGTCGTTTAACTGATATGCATCCAGAACCCAGCAAAAAGGACTCCTATCTGCTAAAAGTTTGAAGCTTTCGGCTTCAATTTGAGGAACCCAGCAAGAAATGGCGCTGAATTTGCCCACTTCCTGTCCGATTTTCGCGCCACTATTGAACCCGAGCCCCACCCACAACGCGGCTCAGAACCGCCTGCCAACGGAGGTCCGATTAGCGCGGTGGAACAACGCCAACGCTGAGAAATTCAACCAGCGCCGGAGGGCCCAGCAAGAAATCGAGGACGATATTCGCCGGGAGCGTCGATTCGAGTCCGCCACCAGAATTGCCACTCTTTCCGACTCTGCCACTGACACCACCACCGCCGCTGCCAACGCCACGACGAGTAGCGAAACATTTAAATCCATCGGCACGCCGTCGTATCCCTCGAGCCCTTCAATCCCAGGCAAGAAATCCAAGTACTCCAAAAACCCTAACCCTAACGATTCGCACCCGGCATTTCGCCGAATCATAAGACCCACGAAGGTCTCGAAAATTTTGAGGGAGAAAAAGCCGGCAGTCGACAGAAAAGCCGACATTTCCATCCGCGACGATGGGCTTTCTTACGTCATCGACGGAGCCCCTTTTGAATTCAAGTACAGCTACACCGAGACTCCTAAAATCAAGCCCATTAAGCTCCGGGAACCGCCGTTCTTACCATTTGGGCCCACCACGATGGACCGGCCATGGACGGGTCGGGCCCCGTTGCCAGCAAGCAAGAAGAAACTGAAGGAATTCGACTCTTTCCAGCTGCCTCCGCCGCACAAGAAGGGGGTTAAGCCGGTGCAATCTCCGGGTCCGTATTTGGCAGGGTCGGGTCCTAAGTATGTGAAGTCCAGGGAGGAGATTTTGGGGGAGCCGCTGACAGTAGAGGAAGTTAAGGAATTAGTTAAAGGGTGCATCAAAACCAAGAGGCAGTTGAATATGGGTATATCTATAGATAATCTTCTTCCTTTGTTTTTTATAGCCTTCATTTCGGATTTTGATTCATTCGATTGCTACTTAACGAGAATTGTGAAATTGGAGAGCGTTTCGATTTGGGTTTTCGTTGATGAAAGTTTTCGACTTTAAAGCTTCAAAATGCAGGAAAATATTAAGAAAGGTTATGAGTTTCTGGTTACTGAATCAGTTCATTTGGAATTTGTAGGTAGAGATGGTTTGACCCACAACATGTTGGATAACATACATGCTCACTGGAAGCGCCGGAGAGTGTGCAAGATTAAATGCAAAGGTGTTTGTACAGTCGATATGGAGAATGTGTGCGAGCAATTAGAGGTTGGTTTCTCCTTGCTGATTGCGGAATGGATAGGTTTGCTGATGTGTTTTTCTCCCAGTTTAGTTGAATATGCTCGTCCTTGTGTTTTACTTCCAGTTTTTCTTTTAAGTTAATTATTCTTGGATCATATATTATTTGACAGGAAAGAACTGGAGGGAAGATCATTTACAGGAAAGGTGGAGTGATATACCTTTTCCGAGGCAGAAACTATAACTATAAAACTCGGCCTAAGTTTCCTCTCATGCTTTGGAGACCTATTACTCCTGTGTATCCTAGACTGGTTCAGCGGGCTCCCGAGGGTCTAACAGTAGAAGAAGCATCTGAGATGCGTAAGAAGGGGCGGAATCTGATACCAATATGCAAGCTAGGTACTATGCTCATGCCTTGGATTTAATCTGTAGAATGGCAATACAAATGTTTCAGGTTTGGCCCCAAATAAACTGATAATGTGTTGTTTGATTTTAACAGGGAAAAATGGTGTATACTCTGAATTGGTAAAAAATGTCAGAGAGGCCTTTGAAGAGTGTGAGCTAGTGCGAATAAATTGTCAGGGGATGAACGGAAGTGACTACCGAAAAATAGGTGCTAAACTAAAGGTATGCAAAATTTATAGTTTCTTTGTTTAACAAAACATTTCTCAAGTCAATGATTATTTTCATAAGAAAGCATGTTAAGCAATATTTTTTACCATGTGAATGCAGGATCTTGTCCCTTGTGTGTTAATGTCATTTGAACTTGAGCACATTCTTTTGTGGAGGGGACGGGAATGGAAGTCTTCTCTTCTAAATCCAGAGAATGATCTCAAGGAAGTCAACGGATCTGATGTTGATGATTCAACTTCAATTGCATCAACATCATGTACTTCTGAAGTTGTGGGTGCAGAAGGAAGTGAGGATCTCTCGCCCTCACTATATGTTGAGCCACGTGTCACAGTTGATAGGGTTGATAGGGCTTCTACTGTTGGAGGAACCTCTGAAACCAAACCCATTTCAGATGTTGAAGGCTATATAAACAATAAATCAGAAGCTAAAATGAATTCCGATAACAGCTCAACCATACCAGACAATATCCACTATGCTGATGATAAGTCAAAAACTACGCCCCATACATCTGAAATTGAGCCCATGTTGGCTAACGCAGGCTGTGCTGATGAAGCATCACCAACTGCAGTCATGGGGTCTGGGACTATGGCAGTGCCTGTTGAAAGTGCTGAAACAAAGTTGGATTCCATCACGGCAGGTCCTGGAAGTGACGAGAATCCTCAAGATGCTTCGGCAGGCTCACAAATTCTTAGTGTGCCAGCAAAAGTGAGTGCACCTTGTACAGAAAATGTGCTGTTACTCTTGAATGAAGCTATTGGTAGAGGGAGTGCACTTATTTTAGACGAGTCATCCCTGGATGCCGATATTATTTATCAACGGTCAGTTGCCTTAGCGCAGTCTGCTCCCCCTGGCCCGGTGTTTAAGCATCAACGACCCAAGAAAGTAGCAGTTTTAAAGAGAGTAAAGGTTGTGAAACAAGATGGCGGGGATTCAGAAGTGAAAGAGATAACAGTTTCTGTGAAGAGAGGAAGTGAGAAGATTCAGAAGAAGGGTAGTAAAGTTCAAAGGACAAGAGATTTTGGTGAAAATCTACTAGATAATGTTGTACCACAGGGAAGTTTGAGAGTTGATGAACTTGCTAAGCTATTAGCATGAGTTCCTGAGATGTATTTATGAATGTTAACACAGCTTTTGGTGATAAAATATGACACATTATCCCACATGACTTCCTCTCCATCTTAGTTCACTTCCCATTTCAGATCTCAATTTCTGTTATTTTATTCTTGAAAACACAAAACCCCACATGTATTGGACTGCAGAGGTGAGAACCGGGAAGTTGGGGACAATATTGATGTTGATTAGT